TTTTGTGCAGAAAAAAAAACAAAAAGAAAAAAGAATGTGTAAGCTCCCCACGGATGGCCATCCTGGAATGGGGGCTATACAAAATAATACCACAACACTTTTCAAGGTCATTCCTTATTTCTTGCTTCATATTTCTCAGTAAGGACAAGACTTGGTAACAGTTTAATAATTGGTTTATTAATTCATCATCGTACAGGTAGGTAAACAAACATCCATATTGGGTACATATAGGTAATTAATATTTTGCTTTGGTCAGTAGTGTCAACCGTACTTTCAAGGGTAAAAGGGATAATAAAGTTGATTTGGAATTAAAAAGGTTCTAAAAATTCAAACATCAGGTGTCCAGTGTGTTGGGAGATAATTTTAGTTGTCTCACCTAATACTTAGCTGAAACCGCTATGTGTTGCTGATGCAACTTATCTGAAAATAATCTGCGAGGCACTTATATTTATAACCTTCGGAAGTAGTCATGTGACATGAATTAACGAATGAAAAAGCTGTACGGTGACACTCGACCAATCACAGCGCTGTACGGCGCCGTACAAACAGAGATCTGTCAAACAGTGTCAAACAACGTCAAACAAGGCTGCCGTACAACGAGGATTTTAACTACAAAAATGGACTTAAAATACAAAATAACAATAAGATTAATATGGTATGGATCCGAGGGATGTTTTCATCAACTGTAAGTAAACATTTCATGTGAATTAAACCCGTATTTCATGATAGAAAACTGTAATCGTACAGCAGACGATATTCAAATAGCTCTGTCAAAGTAAAATTGTGTAACTGTCATTAAACCCCGTTTAACGTGAAAACCCGTGATGAATCTTAGTAAAACATAGTCAAACATTAATTTTGTGGATATTCACAAGCAAAATAACATCGAATTGCCAAACAAAAATACAACTTGCTCAAATACGAAACTCTGGCTAATACAAATAAGATGTCGGCGGGATGTAAACAACTTCCATGACTCCAACAATCGTGTGCAATTATGGCTATGTCAAGCGCTAATTTGACTCATAAATAATCAAGTAAAATACAGTAACATACAAAGATTTTGAAGGTATGTACATGAATTCATAAAATATAGCATTTCCTGTATAAATCCAAGCAACAAGTATGTCAAATGTGCTAAAAATAGACGATACCATGTTAAGTAAATAATCAAAGGACTGAAATGTGGAAGTGACTAGTTAATGCATAATAAAATCCACCCAGATAATATTCCCAATAAATATTGACACAATTAAATCAATAAAAAAATAAACTTATTAATTAAATTCACCCCCAGGCCATTACACTTCCCCCACCCGAAACTCTTAATTCTCCTGAATTATCCTAAACATTTTTTTTTTCATAAAAAAAAGAGTTATAAAATTTAAAACAATACCATGATAATAAATACATAATAAAATTTAGCAGATCAATCACTATGATAAATGTTCCTTTTGAATTAATCAGTCACTTAATCTGAGAGGAATCCCGGCCTGATCAATAGCGCGAATGAGATCATCCCACCTCTTCTTCCGACTGCCGTTTCCTGACTCGAGAAAGTTGACCACTTCTTCGTCTTCCTCACCAACTGAATGGCCTGTTGCAATGTTGCGCAGATGTTTATACATATAAACGCGGCTCTTTAGGTGCGGGGCACTCATCTTTTTGGGAGAAAGGATTTGGGTTCCGGGAAGGGCCATAAAGTTGAACTCGTCGAGGAGGCTGGGACGCTCGATGTCACATCCACCCCGTTGGCTTCTAAGTAATGTGAGTGACGCAAACTCGAACTCAAGCAACTTCTTGTCGGGCGACATGGATTTGAATCCTCTCGGAGGCCAAGGAATGGATACACTCCCAGTTTTCAGTACTACCGCTTCCTCCTTATCCCACTGTCTCCTGGCCGGTGGTAAAAGGGGCATACAGCCCCTGGCCAGGAGGGACCGGGCTCTGGTAGCGAGCGGGCCAAGGGTTGGCATGGAAGGAAGGGTAACAGACTGGTGGTCCACAGGAATTGCAGGATCTGGGACGGGCTCTGTTGGAGTCGTTGAAGCGGCTATTGGGGTGGAATCCAGCGGGGTGATAGGAGCTGTCGCAAAGGTTGAGGTTACCTGGGCTGCAGGAACAGGCGAAGACCGGGTCAGTGCTGCTGCTGGAATACTGCTTAATGGAGAGGAAACTGCAGCTACGGGTGGATGGAGAGGGAGCTTAACAGGCAACTTAGGAACAGGGGCTTCTATCAACTTTAGCTTTTTCTTGGCTGGTTCCGGATTGAAGGTCACTTGTGGTGGTGTTCTCTCCACAACCTTGCGGCTAGGGATGGGGGAAGGCGAAGAATCTAAGTCCGACTCTGCAAATAACTCAATTTCCGGCTCCTCGGCCAACCTTGGCTTGACAGCCTTTAATACTGTTCTCAAATGGTCTGGCTCAATGCCGAGGGAGGTGGCGAAATGAGTGGCCCGCCGTCTCCACTGTTCCTCTTCTTGATGGACGAATTGGGCCTTCTGGAGGTCGGTGCTCTGTTTCTGCACTGCCATCTTCCGGCTCAAGCTGGCAATACTCTTCGGGTCAAAGAGTACCCTGTCGTCCAACTTGAGCTTGTAGTATGCTTCCTCATTTTCCACAACTGCCTGGATTTCCCCCGGTATTAAGCTGATGCTCAAAGGGGTAAAAATGCCGGGGGAGGAAGGGCTGTAAGCAGCCTGCTGGACAACTGCTGGGTTGGAAGGAGCCTTGAAGTTGGTCGCTGTACACTCCCATCCTTCCAGCCAAGCACTTCTTGTCTTCCTGATCTTGGGCCCTGCAGGGGAGGCTAAAATCTTCCTTGTCCACTCCAGTAACAAAGAACGAAGACGGGAAGAGGCCCTGGTATTACGGTCCGTCGGTTCGATAATGAAGCGGTAGTGTTCCGGATGGTAGGACAGCCAGAAACAGTTGTTTTCGGATAGGAGTTCGTCCGCAGGAACATTGGTAGCGGTGATGGCATCCTTATGTCTCCGAATAATATGAGTCTTAAGGTCAGGTGCTGTGTTGAAGGTGGTCTCCTTTTCTGTGCAGAAGGGGCAAACAACCCTTAGGGCATGGTGGGGAGCTGGGGCCAAATGCTCCTTAAGCTTTCTTCTACTCTCGAACTTCTGGCCACATGGCTTGCCATCAACCTCAAGACTGCATAGGAAGGACATCCTGTAAGGCCAACATATACTTTATAGGACGGACTCACATGGTAAGGTAAATACATTGTATTTTCAACTCAACATTAATTCTTACGTTTATCTTATATTCCTATATTAAAAGTAACAATTAGGAAAATTGGATTAATCTAATAGTGTTGACTATGGCTTTACTAGGCTCATCAAGGCAGGGACACACAAAGGACTGGGGACTGGGGACTGGAAAAGCATTTGATTGGTAATTGGAGGATCTGGGATGCTATTCAGGGAAGGATTGGATGTCACCACAGCTAAGTATAATAAAAATAACAAGAACAACTACAACAATCAACTTAAATTTATTTTCATTGAAATAGCCAGATGCAGGTAAACTTAAATCATCAACTGGTTACACCCCTGAGATGCACAGGCCTGGAACATCTCGGTGCCTACCTCTGGTTAGGGCCATAGATTGTACGCGTCCGTCACCTCCCTACATCAGAGGCGTGGGCCATAGATGGTGCACCATCCGTCCCCTCCCTCCACCTACTGATGCGGGCCATAGACCGTACACATCCGTATCTCCCTCCACCAGCTCCAAAATATGCAAAAAAATAAAAAATATATCTGCATCCAGTATCAATGATAGGTACATCTTACACTCAGTCTATTTTCGGTTAGTGTTCACTTCTGCTTATACCATCTTGGCGGATGCTTCCCCCTATAAGGAAGCAGTCTGTCAATATGGTATACTTTGCCTCTCTGCTTCTGTGATCTTTTCACTAGAAATGTGATATCGTCTATTTTCTTTGTTATTATGTAGGGACCCTTCCACTTGCATGTCAACTTGCTACATACTCCAATTTTTCTCGATGCGTCATACAGCCAGACAGGTTCTCCCTCCCCTAATTTTCTAACTTGTGCTTTTGTATCATAGTGTTTTTTCTGATAATCCGCATTTTGTTTCAGATGTTTTCTGGCAAAGTTGTGTATGGTAGACAAATTTTCCTGTAGTTTCTGAACGTAATCATCAGCCTCAGAGAATTCTTCATCGCTAGATTCATTGGGCCTTGGAATGATAGCCTCCATGGGCATTCTTATGTTTCTACCTAGCATCATTTTGTTTGGAGATACACCAGTACTAGAGTGAATAGAAGACCGATATGCCATCATCACCTGTGGTAGAACATCATCCCAGTGTCTCTGGTTTTTGTCACAATACATGGTTAGCATGCTGATTAAAGTTCGGTTAAAACGTTCTACGGTGCCATTGGCTTGGGGTCTCTGACTGGTAGTTCTGGTTTTCTCAATCCGGAACATTGACAGCATGTCTTTAAAAAGGTTGGATTCCAATGACCTACCCTGATCGGAATGGATTTGAAGGGGGGTACCAAACCTACAAATAATTTCATTAACTAGAACTTTTGCTATTGTGGTTGATTCTTGGTCTGGTATGGCAAATGCTTCAGTCCATTTACTAAAACAATCGCATATCACCAAAATATATCTATTGCCATTCTCTGAAAGAGGAAGTGGGCCAAGGATATCGATGGCTACCCGTTCCATGGGTTCTCCAACCAAATATTGATGTAAAGGGGCTCTATTGGAAGTCCTAGAGGGTTTCTTGGCTGCACAAAGATCACACTGTGAACAATATTTCTCTATGTCTCTTTTCATTTTGGGCCAGTACATTGAGTTTCTTATTTTGTCAAGTGTCTTCTCCGCACCTAGATGGCCTCCCGAGGGAAGATCATGAAAATAATTCTCAAATGTTTGACAGAAGAGACAGCATTTCTGATATTTTGATTAAAATCACCCAAAATGACACAAGGTAAGCAAATTCTGTTCACAGCAATCACCAATCTACTCATGGTATTTAAAAAACTTTCAACTTTGTATGATGATGGTCTGTATAATGTAACAACCAACATACCATTTGTTTTATGCTATATACTCAAGATTATCTACTGGAAGAAAGATCCTTTCGTAACGTAAGTCTGTAAACGTTTTTGTACACAAACCCCACCTTTAGCTTGACTTTGTATGATATTGTCAGGTGCATATGAATTTTTCCTAAGTTGGTGTTCTGAAGAAAAACAATCAATATCTATATTGGATTCCAGTTCATTTGCTATCCATGTCTCAACTAAACATATGAAATCAATATCTTGATGCATAACTGTTATTCTAAGATCTTCCAAATGGTTTTGCAAACCCTCAATATTGTGATACAATATACCGAGTTTCTGTATGAACGATCTCGTCACTAACCGAAAGTAAACTGCTCCATTGAAGTAAGGGACTCTTGAATAGTTGGATTTGAGTATATTGCATTCTCGTTGAAATCCTGGATCGTTAAACCTTCAAGAGATGTGACACGGCTTAATGCTACATAGGCTTGTCCAGGCTGGAATATTTTTTTCAATGATAATACAGCTTTACTGACAGTCAACCCTTGCACTTTGTGAACAGAACAAGCCCAAGCAAGTTTTAATGGAAATTGTTTTCTTGTTATGTTTCCATTATTTCCCATTTCTTCTACTCTTTCTATTAGAACTTTAATCTTGTTGCCTATTTTCTTACCACGTTTTTTCCCAATATCTTTATTGTCAAACAAACTTCCACACATTTTACTTCTTTTCTCCCTTTGCAACTTTCTTCTACTATCCTGGTAACAGTTCCAAATGCCCCATTCACTAAACCATCTGCAATATCAACATTATATACAAGCATGATACGTGCACCAACACATATTTGAAGTTCACTGGCCAATTTAAACGGTTTTTTGACAGAGTTAAGCAATCCCTGTTTACTTGTACCTTCTTGTCGTTTGTCTTTGAAACAGTCTTCGGCTTTGATAACTGTTGGTTCTACTTCGTTGCTTAAGCATAGTGCAGATAAAGCGTGTGCATTGAAGTCATTGACTTGAGCATTTGTAGCAAATATATGCAAAGCATCAACATTGTCATCCTTTTCTCTCTGCTTGAAAGCAGTGCTTTGTCATCTTCACTTAGTTTCTCTTTCTTTTCCTTAATTCTACACCTATTCAAAAGCTCAGCAAATTGTTTATCTTCCTTCTGTCTCATGATCTCATTTAGAGTGACAAGTTTGAAACAATCATTCCAAAGATCAAAATGGCAGTCCCTCGTAAAGAGAGGTTTTCCTTTAACAGGTGGTAACTGATAGAAATCGCCAAAAGCCAATACGCTGACATTTCCAAATGGTGTAAAATCACCAGTCTGTTTGATTTGCCTAAGGCGGCCGTGAATGTAAGTCAACAATTTTTTATCAACCATTGAGATTTCATCAATAATGAGCAATTTTAACTGTCCTAGTTTTGTTCTCAGGGAATTTAATTTTTCATCACCAAGTGGTTGATATTCAAAGGGCAAAGCGCTATTTCCAGGGATAGCAAATGCACTGTGAATGGTTGCCCCTCCTATATTGAATGCTGCAACGCCTGTCGGTGCTGTTAATAATACAGAGACATCATCAGGGTTTGGCATAACTGGAGCAAAAAGTCTTGACAATTCGTAGTAAATACTTTTAATTAGATGACTCTTGCCTGTTCCAGCTCCTCCGGTAATGAAAACCTGTATCTGAGGTGGTTTTTGTCCGCTTATGGTTTTTAACACCAGTGTCTCATTTCCTGAAACAACCTTCGTTGAGTTTCATTTAAAGATCTCATTATTCTGGTACCTTCCTCTTTTGAAATCAAACTTTGTGATATTTCTATTGAATTTGAAGAATTCTGCAATAAATCTGGTATGGGTAGTTCCGATTCACTCATGTCATTTTCGTTTCCCCTCTTTTCATTTATACATTCTAATCTATTTACTTCAGTTTCAGGACAAACCTGTGACCATGCATTTTCCTGGATTCCACAATTTTCTAGTATTTCTTGAGCCGTTTCCAATTTTTCCACGTCTTTTTCAAAACAACAACGATTTCTGTCCACCACTTTCTTAACATCAGAAGAGTTATAAAATTCCTCATACCCCTTTCTTGATTTGAATTCATCTGTTGATCTATGTGGAAAATAAAGCTGCAAAATACTGAAATAATATTTTTCAGGGAAAGCAGAAACTGAGAAACGAGGAAATCTAATAACAGCAGAGTCAGTTATAGTTCTTTTCTGGATGTAGCCCAGATCGTTTTGTAAGGCATGTATCGGGCTTCTCGGATTTTTTACATTTGACGCTTGTGATGAAGATAAAACTCTATATTCAGAGCAGAATGTAGCTAAACACATGCTTTGAAATTCTTCAGACAAAGGCCTTGCTCTATATTTTTCTGTTAAGCTTGACATCCAAATGTCCTCATCAGCATCTGATTTCTTGTCCAAGACTTTCAATGGTAGACTCATACGAATTGGATTCTCTCCTACAGGTATAAACTGAACTTTTCGTGAACAGCCTTTTAGTTGTAAATTGCAAACTCTAAAAGCGGCTTCTTGAGCACTGACTTCTCTGTGATGCAAATAAGCAGTTCCAAGTTTCTTCATTGCAGACTTTGCGTCAAGATTTCCGTCTCTAGCTTCCCGCTGTGTGCAATCCAAGATCTGACTCATTTCTCTTTCTGCTTTAGAAATATATGATATTATGTAAACAACACATGCATAAGCATCGGTGATATACTGAATATCCATGTTTGCATTCCAGCAGGAAAGTAAATGGTGATTGTAATGATTGATCCATGCTTCATTCGGAGTTCTTTTTAAGACAACGGATGTCGTTTTTGTCAAAATTTGGCTTGCTTCTTCAAATTCTCTCTGAGATATATTTAAATGCTCGAAAAGCTCTTTCGTAGACATTTCTTTTGAATCATTTTCTTTCATGAAATTCCAAAGTTTTGATAACACCTCTTTTGCAATATCCTTTCGTTTTGTCTCTTTCAGATTATGAGCCATGACTTCATTGTATTCTTTTTCAGACATACAAAGATCAACAGTTTTGATATTTTCTTTCAGTGGGTGACAAATGAAAGTATTCTCTGATGGTGGCCTTGGAAAATTGAATCTACATTCTTTAGAACCCTTTTTACAAGATTTTGAATGTGATTTGCTGTGTTTCTGAACACTGTTAACGATTTCAAACATAGTTTCGTCTTCAGAAGGAATCTCGCAGGTAACATAAGCGTCTATAAATTCAGCAACATCAGAATCGGTATCCTCATGTAACTTTGGTGCATTTTCAATCCAAAACAAACAGTGAGTATGAGGTGACCCTCTTTGCTGAAATTCTACTCGGTAAAAGTAGTCTTTCACTTTCCCTATTGGTTTAGCATTTGATAAGATTACTTTCTTTAAGAAGGTCTGAAAACGGTAGTCAAACATCCGGGATACAGTGATTGGATTCTTTTTTAGAATGTCCCATTTTTCTGACAAAGTCAAGTCATCAACATTCCTTTCATCATTTTGCTGTTTTAGGATAGCTTCAAACGTTTCAGACCATCTCATCTCAGCAGCGGAAAAAGAACAAAACCATGTTGGAAGACCAAGTTGCCTTATCATTGCAAAAAGATCCTTTTGAGCAGATTGCCAGTAAGGTGGAGTCCCTCGTATTGGTTTTAGAAATTTGTATCCCTCATCTGACTTAAAAATTTGTTGCAATGATTCTTTATTTTTAATTGATTGTAAATTAATTTTTGTTCCATCAAACCCTTTCTCGTGAGTTTTTCGTAAAGCAATTGATACATTTGATATAACCTGTTGAAGTTCAGTCAAATACTGGGAAAAGAAAATAAAATCAGTGTCTTTAGCAAATCTAGAGTCAACGTTCATTAATTTGTTCAACAAGAATCTTGATAAAGTTACGCGAACATCTCTTTCTTCTCCAAATACATTTTTGCCGGTAGGAAAAAGACATGGAAAACACTTTGCTTCTATCCCCTTTTCTGACAAAATACTTATTGGATTATTCCTTTCACAAGGTGCCATACAGAATATCTGATCGAAATACTGGTCCAGGACCTCTTGTCCAATGTCAACCGGTTGGAGACAAGTATCAAGCGGCATTTGGTGGTTCAACTCATCATCAATTGTTTCACGTATTTCATTTTTCTGTGAAGTTTGTTCAATGTCCTCTTTACTTTCAACATTTAAACACTCAGCTGAATCCCCTGCCAATTCATAAACTGTTTCATTGTTTTCTCTTTGTGCCTGTTGCTCATTGTCAATATTAGTCTCCATACTTAAATGTTCAATAGGATTTTCCCAAGAATCATCAAACTTAAGATCTTTATAAAATTCATTTGTTTGACATAAAAACTCAATTGCACTTCTGACTTTTTGGGTGTTTACAAATTTGAACTCGCAATGTCCTTTGTAAGAAAGTTTTCGTTTTAACTTGACTTGAATTAACTGATTTTCATTTTCAGGCCGTGGTAGAGATTCTATTGTTTCCGAAACATTACTAGGTACACAAACGACAGGCCCTTGAACACCAAACTGTCCTCCTTTAGGTAAAGCCGTCATTTTTGTGAATGGTACTATGCGCGCGATTAAATGCCGTTCTAGGGAATTTAAGTCCTGCAAAACATCTGGTACCTCTATATTCTCCATTTTATTCGCGAAGCACTCTCCAGGCATGGACCCTGATAACAGTTTCCTATGGCAGGTATAACAGATCCAGAGTTTGCATCTACTAGAACAGACATGCGACTCGTCTTGTGGACATACTTGTAAATATCTTTCTGATACAAACGCCGATCCAAAACCCACTCCTTCAGAGGTTGTATTTTTGTTGTAGACATTCGTCTCGCAGATAACAACTTGTTTTCTAAAGAACAGTTTATAGCACACTGAACATACATGATCAGGATACAATTTCATGTCATTTTGAAAATTTTCATGAACGATCGCCCAGTTTTCCAGACTTTCGTCAAGTTTCCGCCGTTTTGCATAAACAGAATTTTTAATACTTTCACGGTGAGATTTGCTTGTTTTGTACTGAGTAAAAGAAGCCGATTTTACCTTAGCTCTATGAATGTCGTCTTCTTTGTACTTTTTAATGGAAGCTCGTTTTACCTTAGCTTTGTGAACGTCGTCAGTTAAGTACTTTTCTACAGAAGCCGATTTAACTTTAGATTTGTGAATGTCGTCTGTTAAGTACTTTTGTACAGAAGCCGATTTGACTTTAGCTTTGTGAACCTCATCGTCATTGTACTTTCTTTTTGATGCCCTTTTCACAGTGTCCCTGTGCTGATGATCTAAATTATATTTTTCTTTAGAGTACAATTTGACAGTATTTCTAAACTGTTCATTCATTTTGTATTTTAATTTTGCTGAATTTATTTTCTGCATTTTGTACAATTCATTTTCCGAGTACTTTTTAGCAAGGAATAGTTTTGTTCTATTCATTCGCTGATCAATTTGATTTACAGACACTGGGGTGCTTTCTTCTACTTTTGAAATTTTTGTCTTTTTCTTTCGATAAAGATTCATCGTTTCCTTACTCCTTTTTCGCTTACGTTTAAGAGTGTTTGAATTACTTTTCCCCTCCAAAATGCTATCTGTTTCCATTTCGGCTAAGGCTGGTTCAGTAGGACCAGTTACTTCTCTATTAGCAACGTTTTCATTCACTACCTGAATTTCATCAACATAAGAATGGGTAACTTTTACTCCAGTAACCTCAAATTGTTCATTTCCTGTTGCATTCATAGAATTTGCCAACTCCTCGCAATGTGATCTCAGTTCATCAATAGAATATAACTTTAGACACAGACTACTGCCAAATGCTGACACTCGACCAAACCTATCTCTTGCATGAGGATCAAAGACATAAAAATGATTTCCCTCTTTAATTGTAACATAAGTATTACCTTTGAATGTAACAAATGCACCATCTGATTGTACAAGTGTTGTGCTTAATGCTTCAGCAAAAGTGCTAGATTGAAATTCCAAATTATCTACACAGCTAGAGTTTAAGAGACCATACATAGACTCTCCAAATTCAAAATTATACATTTTATTAAAACATTCCAATTGCCTTGGGATTTCTTCAATCAAAACATAATCATTTTGCATCGTAGAACTGCTAGTTAAACATTCATACAATTCATTTCCTGTATCTAAAATAATATCCATATCACCAACAGTCCAGTCATTCACAGGTTTACATTTACAATACATAAGTGAAGATAAACTGTTCATAACACACTGCTTTCCACTAGAATGGCCAAATTTTGGATGGCCTTGGTGAAAACTTCCTTGCAAAATACGTCTCTCAAATTGTGGTAAACTGATGTTATGATCCATTATATCTGGATATTCCTTCTTGTCCACTTGCTCAGCAATATTTGACTGGATAATGCTTTCCATAGCAGTGTCTGACTCGTGTTCTTTCTCTTCATTAAACAATTCTATTTCTGGTAATATAGAACAATCCTGCGTCTCAAATCTTTCATCAAGCTCATCTTCTACATTCAAAACAACTTCATAATGAGCTCTGTAACAGTGTTTCAAATATATCGCTTCCAGTTCAACATCTACTTTTTGATTCACTTGTTTTCCTGTATATCTGGTCCAATTTGTATTCCTGTCATCAAAAATGTAAATGTCTGTCTGCAATAGATGTGCTGCAGCAATAATTTCCACTTCTGTAGCCCAGGTTCCATTCTTTAACATACCTTTTTTCAAGACATAATCACAAACCGAATTATATCCCGATCTTAAGAAGCTCTGAAACAGGACTTCATTCTCTAGTAGGTGATTTACAATTCTGTTCCTCATAATGAAATGCTTCGACTCTTCTTTATACACGCCATAAGAAAGTGCTCTAAAGAAACAGTTTCCATCACCTATGATATTCTTAGTTTCGGACGGAACTCCAAGTCTTTTTTGGAAATGAGTTGATTCTTCTCCCAAAGTCTCTGGCACTTCATTGTGAATTCGCTTCATTATCCTTTTTTTGGCATTGTGAGATAAAGGGTGGAAAACCAAGTCAGTACTTTCAACATCAAGCAATTGTACACACAGTTCTGTTTCTTTCCTGTTTTGCTGTTTGTTTTCATGCTTTCTCAATGATTCAGCAGTTTTGGTTTTTGGTTTTTTCTTCAAAATATCAATTAATCTAACTTCCCATTTTCCATAGTCTGGATCTGATAGTTGCTGAAGTCTTCTGTCTATCTGCATCTGAATATCAAGTGTAATTGCCTGTCCTTTCTCTAGGATATGTGGATTCCTTTTTGTTTCAGATGTGCAATCTTTCTCGCTATTTTTATTTGATTTTGATACTCTTTTCCTTTTCTTTTGCTTTCTTTTCTTTTTTCCGTTTCCTTTTTGTTCGGATACACACTTCAGCTTTCTTTCAGTTTCAAGTTTTGTTCTCATGTTTGTTTGAGATTTAATTATCTGTTCAATTTCTGGATTCAGTTCAGCTTCATTGTTTAGTTCTTTTTCAGTATTCAGTTCAGTTTCAGTTTTCCGTTTTGTTCCAGTATTCAGTTCAGTTTCAGTTTTCCGTTTTGTTCCAGTATTCAGTTCAGTTTCAGTTTTCCGTTTTGTTCCAGTATTCAGTTCAGTTTCAGTTTTCCGTTTTGTTCCAGTATTCAGTTCAGTTTCAGTTTTCAGTTTTGTTTCAGTATTCAGTTTTGTTTCAGTACTCAGTTCTGTTTCAGTATTCAGTATAGTTTCAGTGTTCAGTTCAGTTTCAGTGTTCAGTTCAGTTTCAGTTTTCAGTTCAGTTTCAGTGTTCAGTATAGTTTCAGTGTTCAGTTCAGTTTCAGTGTTCAGTTCAGTTTCAGTTTTCAGTTTTGTTTCAGTTTTCAGTTTTGTTTCAGTGTTCAGTATAGTTTCAGTTTTCATAGTTTTGTCAAGGTTTTTTAAAGAGGCCTTGACTAGCCTCTGGCCGCTAACTTTGTTAGCTGTGGCCAATGTTCCAGATGAAGAACATACTGGGTTTTTTAAGGAGATGCCCACCAAACTCCGTACTTTTTCATTTTCTTTGACATCACGTCCAGCAGTTTCCAACTTCCGTTTCTGTTTCGCCCTTGCTGCCTTCTGCTTAGCAGATCTTTTCTTTGTTCTCATCTGAAAAGAAATAAAAATGTCAACAGATTTATTTTGGGTCAACATTTGTATATTTTTCTGTTAAACATAAAAATGACACATTTTAATGAAAAAATCTCACCATATAATTAATAACCTAAAAATGTCAAATAAGCCACACTTTCTTTGTTGTTCTTGTAATGAATTTTAACAATTTTCCCTATGTATTCCTATGTAAAACCTACGATCACCCATTGTGGCCCCGACTCTAAGGATAATAGTATGAACAAACTTAAATCTACACTACCCGAGGATGCTTCTATATATACAGTTAATTCTCGATAAACCGCCACCTTTTGTAATTTAGAAATCATGGCGGTATAACGATTTTGGCGATAAATTGAATTTCCCATCTTCTGGAAAACAAGAAGTAGAGTTACCGTTCTAAGAAATACCATTTAGCGTTTCTATTCTTATTATTACATGTACATGTATATAATAAAAACATATTTCTGATTGAAAATACTTCATGTAATTTTTTAATGTACGAATACGCTAAAACAAAATGTGCAGTTATGAAATAAAGAAAAGTACATTGGTGTGCATTTAAATCTGCAGTTTTGCTATTGAAAAAAAAATACGGGGTCGATCGTCGGGATATATTGCCGATGGTAAGTAAAATGAATTCTTGAATAAATTTATTGTTTATGGCAACGTTGTTAATTAAACATTCACAATTCATACCGTATTATTATTTTTTCAGCAAACTTCGCAATTTTTGAAGCAGAAATCATCTAAATTATATAGTTATCGGCGAACTTTAACAACGACCGATTTCGTGGCAAAGCGGTGACTAAATGATTTTTATTAAACAGAAAACAAAATTATTATAACAGTTCATGTTAAAATCTCTGTATATTTAGTTCTTATTTAATTACTTAATTGCATGTACCTTGTCTGCCTTTGCATGCTTTACAACAGGGATAGTCAACCAATTAGCCGTGCTTCACTGACCATGCGCACCTGTGGCGTTATATCGAGATAATTGACACTTAAAAATGGACGTTTGTTGTGAAAACAGGGTGGCGGATGGCGGTATGCGAATTTGGCGTTATAAAGAGAATTCTAGGGAAATCATGGCGGTATTGCGAGAATGGCGATGAATCGAATGGCGATAATTCGAGAATTGACTGTATATATATGTGAACATTCACTCCTTTGCTGATCTTTTCTACGAAATCCTTTTCACGATTTGAGCAAACTTAAATCATCCAACTTACAAGAGGATGCTTTATTATAATTATGATCAATCATGACTAAGCTGTTCTTGAGAAGAAAATTTTAAAGACCTTTCCTTTATATTCATATGTTCATATATTCATATGTTTATCTTTGATCCCACATTGTGGCCCAACCCTACCCCTAGAGGTCATGATTTGAACAAACTTGAATCTACACTGTCCGAGGATGGTTCCATAATATGTGAACAGTCATGTCCTTGCTGTTGTAGTAATTAAGATTTCTGAAAGGTTGAATGTTCATAACTGTCAGGCCCTAATCGAGAATCCAGGGGGGTCCTAAACCTAAACTCGCTAAAGATTTCTGATGTATTCAAATGTTAATCTTTGATCCCCATCATGGTCCCACCTTATGCCTGTTGGAGGAGAAGTTATAATTTGAACAAATCTAAATCTTCATTACAAGAGGATGCTTAAGATAACTATGACATATCATGGCTCCTACTGTATTTGAGAAGATTTTTTAAAGAGTTTTCCTTTCTGCATCTATGTTACACTTTGATACCCGGCTATGGCCCCACCCTACCCCCTGGGGTTATGATTTATTTAATCTTGAACGTACAATACCTGAGGATGCTTTAAAATGATTTTCATCTTTCTGGCCGAATGGTTCTTCAGAAGAAGAATTTTAAAAAAATTCCATTAATTTTCATTAACTCATAATTATCTCCACTTGGAAAATCATGTCCCTTCTTTGAAAAAATTTGAATACCCTTCACTTATGGATACATTGTGGAAAGATTGGTTGAAAGATTGGTGGAAAGATTGGTCCAGTGGTTCTTGAGAAGAAGATAAAAATGTGAAAAGTTTACCACAACAACAGACAGCAGACTTGAGCTTTCCACTCAGGTTTGCCAAAAAGAAACATAAAAGGTTAAAACAAGAGGCCCATGGGCCACATTGCTCACCTGAGGAAATTTGGCCATTGCTATTCTTTAATATAAGCCCCTATTGTTATACCTATTCATATTTGTGACCCCATCCTACCCCAAGCTAAGTGGCCAAGTGGTTCTTGTGAAGATTATTTCTATACATTTCAATGTAAAACTAGTGGATTCTCTATTAGGGTCGCCCGTGTGGCGCAGTGGTTAGAGCTCTAGAGTCGCGAAGTAAAGAGTCAATCCTTAGGTAGCGGGTTTGAATCTCACTGTGGGACGTGGCTACTCACTAACAGGTCTTTCGGATGAGACCGTATAAACCGAGGTCAAGTGTCGCAGTAGGTGTTGGCACGAAAAAGATCCCTCCCTGCTCAATGGCCATAAGTGCTTAACATAGGACAAAATTTGCAGCTCTCCATTGGCAAGTGGTGGTGTCTCCATATGAGTGAAATATTCTCAAGAGGGACATTAAACAATATATAATCAATCTATTACGGTCAGACCCTATATATGACCTTAGGGTCATGGTTTGAACATAATTTATAATCTACACCACCCTAACATACTTCCACATAAGTTTCATCTTTTATGGCCCAGTGGTTCTTGAGAGTTTTAATGAGCCCACCCATTTTTTATAAGGATGTGGATATGAACAGGTAAAACGCAAAAATATTGGGAATGTCAACAAATATTTGAGTACTCGACTATCCTTCAATCATTCCAACTATCGAATAAAATTTCTATAATCAATTATTCATTAAAAATGTGTTACCTAAAAGTAATTTTAAATTCAAAGTAATATTATATAAACTTGATTCATCCATTTTATTTATTTACAGATCAATGTTCTCGAATGTAAAACTCAGGGCATGGTTTAACGTTTCAAGGGAAATTATTTGTATGTCAGAAATAATTCCAAAATCTACAGTTTGGGTATAGTTTAAAAGATGTCAGCATGGAAAAACAGTCAAAAGTATTATTCAGTTTCAGCCTACAATCCCATACGAAAATGTGTAGTTGACCGTCAACTAGCCGTCAACTAACCGTCAACTAGTCGTCAACTGTTAATGCGAAAACAGTTGACCACTCGGAGTTGAATGCTTTTCTGAAAAGCGACCAACTGATTTGCATAAAACGGCCAGTTGACCATTAGTTGAATGCTCATACTTTGAAATTTCATGCAGAACAAGAGTTGACCACTAGTTGAACACTCCGACTTGTTAGAAAATTTCTCCCACGCTAAATTTATGTTGGGTTCAAAATTACATTATCATAGATCGGGTTTGTTATACCATAATTACAACAACCAAGATTTGAATCAGTACATGTGTGTTTTCTGTAGAAGATGGGAATTTTGATTTGAAACATTATTATTGTCTTCGTAATGATTCAGCATGTGAAATATCTCATGTACTATTGTAAGTATATAAAATTTAAAGATTTGTTTTTACTAAACTTGTTATTTTTAAACAGGTAATAGGAATGCAAAACAATGTAGCCAGTATCAGAGTATAGGTCCCTTTTTTGTGCACTTTTTTAAATATTGAAAGAATTCTGAAAACCTGTTATGCATCAAGTGTCTTGTTGTGTTTCTTGTTGTGTTCTAAAAATATACAATTGCTTTAGACTAATTCTATATATAACCTTTTCTGCTAAGAAAATGAAGAAAGACTGTAACAACTTATGAGTGTGTGCCAGCTCAATTCATTTATAATGCATTTAGTTTTACAAGTACATTTATGTCAATTTAGAAACTCTATTGGTTTGACTTTTCATATTTTCAAGAACACTGATTGTCTTAGATTTCAAATCTCCCTCCATTTTTTTCAAATATTTAATGCAAGCAACCTACGTGCACTGACTAATGGAGTATTCAACTAGCGGTCAACTGCAAAGGAAATAGTGGAGTCTTCAACTAGCGGTCAACTGCAAAGGAAATAGAGGAGTAATCAAATAGCGGTCAACTGCAAAGGAAATAGAGGAGTAATCGACTAGCGGTCGACTGCAAAGGAAAAAGTGGAGTATTCAACTGGCGGTCAACTGCAAAGGAAATAGAGGAGTATTCAACTAGCGGTCAACTGCAAAGAAAATAGTGGAGTATTCAACTAGCGGTCAACTGTAAAGGAAATAGAGGAGTATTCAACTAGCGGTCAACTGCAAAGAATATATAGGAGCATTCAACAGTGGTCCACTCTATGCAAATGAGTTGATCGCTCCCTCATTTGCATGGCAAAAATTCAACTAATGGTCAATTGACGGTCAGTTGACCGTCAACTAGTAGTCAACTGAATACTCCGATTGAATTCTAATAGTATTTTTTCATATGGGATTCCATAAGATCTGATGTAATGCAGCCATTCATTAAGAATAATCAAACAGCTGTTACAAAATTGTAAATACTTGTAAATTGGGGACAATTATATGAGTGTAATTAAATGGTGTTTCCTTCTGATGTTGATATCAATCTAAAACTGGTTCGATTGTTTGCACAAAATCTCATAATTAAAATTTATCACCAGCTTTCTCTGTTTCTATAAGAGGTACATTGTAATATTTTCCAGTCAAAGTAAATATGCTAGTAGTAATGGCTTCAATCATAACAGGTTCATGTACTATCATTATGAAAACAAAGGAAACATGTCAGCTTTTTATATCCTGCATTTACTTAAAATGTGAAGTCAACATCATTTTAATTTATACATGTAAACATACACTATTCATTGTACTACGAACGTGTTAAGACTCAGAAATCTGTTATATAATGGTGATAGACATTGGGTAGGTTAAATATTATACAACTAGTCTATCAACAGCAAAAGTAAATTGGCAAAAAATTAACTTTAATTTCAACCAATAGTCTATTTTT